AAAAGCTAAAATTGGTGAAAGTAGTCTCCAACCTACTACCCTTCCCCCGGCTCCCCGACCCAGACCTGTTACCCGTCCTGCTGCTCCTATTATTCTTGATAGTGATAACCCTTGTTTTCAATCTTCCGATAGTGAATTTTGCCATAATGTTGCACCAGGTGAACAATTAAATGAAGAAGTTATGAATGCTCTTTATCCTAATCAAACTATCTTAGAAAATGATGAGGAAAATGAGGATGTAGATGAAACCCAACCGGATTTAGATGATTCACCTACTAGTCCTGTTAATAACACAACTGATGCCCCGCCCGACCCACCTGTAGAAACCCCTACTTTTAATAGACAACCTTCTAAACGCCTAGAAACATCAATAGTTTGGAATTTTTTTACTCAAGTAAGAGAACAAAATAAGGCTAAGTGTAAAACTTGTGGGAAATTGCTGGCGCATAAATATACTGGAGACCGTAGCGGTACGGGTAGTTTGGCTAGGCACATACAAACACACCCTAGAGATAAAGTTAAATATTTACAAATGAAAGCGCAGCAAGAGGGGACAAGTGTAGATACTGCGGTTAACCCTAGTACAGGTTCAAATCTAGTTCAACCAGGAATTAACACTGTGACCGGTGGTATTTTATATTACGATCCTAATAAAGATCGTGAAGAATTAGCAAAGATGGTTACTGTTATGTGCTTACATAACATACAATATATACTACAAGAAAATATATAAGGGAATATATATACATAACATACAATATATACTACAACAAATTATATAATGGAATATATATACATAACATACAATATATACTACAAGAAAATATATAAGGGAATATATATACATAACATACAATTTATACTACAACAAATTATATAATGAAATATATATACATAACATACAATATATAGTACAAGAAAATATATAAGGGAATATATATACATAACATACAATTTATACTACAACAAATTATATAATGGAATATATATACATAACATACAATACATAACATACAATATATAGTATACTATACTAGTATACTATATATATTATATTTACATGAAGAAGTAGTACTATATATACTACAAAATAAGATTTTTCAAAATGAGGGCTCCACCCCCAATGACCACCAACGGTCATATTAATTGCACAAATAGCCATTTTTTTTTCAATTTACAAAACTAACCTTCTCTAACACTATAAGTACCCCCCTCCCTCTTCTTCATTTCAATACTCAATACTCATTTCTCAATCTAAATTTCTCTCAATCTCTCAATCTCCAATTTTCAAGACTTCATGTCTCAATCTCAATTTTCAAGTTAAATCATGCCTCGTTCGGAAAGAGTACGCTTATTTGTTTCGCAATACTATGAAGTGCTTGAAGAAAATGAAGAAGGCCAAATATTAAAGTGCAAGAACTGTGGAAGAGTCTTAAATTTTCGTTCAGGGTGTACCACAGGCATTTTAAGGAGGCATATAAAGTATTGTGTTGAGGGTATTTATCCGCAAATTCGTCTTTAAGATTTTTCAACAATTTGTGTTATTTTAAAATTATTAGACGTATTTATGCTTCATGTTGTACTTTGTTATTAATTTATTATGCATGCCAATTTAGTTTTACTATTGATTTGTTATTTTACATTTTCGTCAAACACTTTAATAATTAGATTTCTATATTATATATACTACATATATTTATATAGCCATGCATAAGAGCAATTTATATATATATACATACACATATGGTTTACAAGAAATTGCCTTAAATAAAAAAAATTAAAAAAAAAAAGCCCGGAAATAAAAAAAACCCGTTAGGCCCGCTAAGCCCACGAGCCCGGCCTATTTAGCCCAGGACCATATGGGCTTAGGCCATCACGGGCTGGTCCTACCCGTTGAGCCTACGAAGCGCGGGACCGCGAAGCCCGGGACCGCCAGAGCCCGGGACCGCTAAGCCCAGGCCCGTTTAGCCCGGCCCGTTTAGCCCATTTAGGCCCGGCCCACCATACAGCCTTAACTGCAACATAGATATAGAGAGCTTGATTTCTGACCAGAATAGGAGCATAGCAACTCTTGCCATAACGACTCTGCTTAAGACTGGCAATGAATCAAGTGTTGATCGTCTCTCTTTTCTGTTTGTTCCCAATCTTATTATACTCACAAGGAACGGTGAATTAGCGGGTAAATAGTTTGGGCGCATGGGTAGGAGTAGTAAATAGTTTGGGCCTGGGCATTAAAGAGTAACTAGTTTAAAATTAATGGGTATAAAGTGAGATTTTTCTCATTATTAATTTAGCAGATACAATGTTCCTTGAAAATAACAGAAATTTTTTTAAAGCACCTCAACCCACAATCGTTAGGTCCTGGGTTCGAGTCACGCTGGAGGGGAAGTGTGTAAACACTATAAATCCTCTTAAATTGGGAGGGAATTTATAAAAAAACAGAAAAATAACTATCTTGAAACAATATATAATTTAATACAGGGTGTAATTTATATGTACTGATAGTGCACACTTGTTTTATCGAGAAAGTTATACGGATAAAATGGAAAAAATAAATACTCATTTTAGCCCGACTCTCAACTTATCACGCACTTTAGCCCTAAAGTCTTTTTTCTATTAATCAACTATGAGTGCAATCATTACGACAAACTCAATTCTAGGTCGACTCATATACGTGTGAGGTGCGATCAACCGCGTAATTTCAATAATAAAGAACTTGCTCTCTGGTAAGCAAATGAAAGTAGATTAACCAAGACGTAAAGGCAGTTTGACACAAAAAGAATCTCCGTCGTGAACCCAAAAGGAAGACGGGTTTGTTAATGCTTGAACTTGATGTAAGTGATTACGAGGTTAGTCTTCTAGGATCAACTTGCTTCAAATTGACCATTAATAATTTATTAATTTAAGTGATGTCATGAGTGATTATGTACTAGTCTTATCTAATGAATTGAGTCTTCCACAACTTTCCAGGGTGATGAGGTGGATAATTAATTCCTTACTCCAGTTTCATATAAGCATCATTGCATGAATCAAGACTATAATCTATAGCTGATGGATGGTTTTATTACAAAATTCTAATTTAACATACAACCGTCACTTCAACTTAACAGACGACCAAAGCCTCCACAGAAGTGAAGTATATTTTAACTATCTTCAGTTTCAGCCTAGAATATTTAGCATACCTATGAAGAAATTAGTAACAATTGAAAGATGCGAAGAACGAGATCAAAATTTTCACTAATCATAGTTTCAGACATTAAACTGTGTATTCCACGGAGGAGCAAATGAAGATGAGAGATCAAGGAAGGGATACAACCACCTATTTTCAAAATGATACCACTATTGATTAGTTGCTCAAACAGACATACATGTAATTATATTTGGAAAAAGAATAGTGTGTTATTACCAAATTGAGATACAACATACAAGCATGGACTGTTCACTGAAAAATGACTTAATAATGGCTGTCCATAGAAAGAAATATCCAATTCGAAACCAAGGGAAACGCTAAAATTAATAAACAAGTATACAATTTTGAGTCCGTGTCATAGGAGTAGATCGAGTGCAAGAATTAATTTCTTGCAAAGTGAAGAAGGTGAGTTAAAACCCCATTGAAAGCCATTGAAGAAACTTGAAGCTTGGGTTAGAAAGTTCGGAATGCGTAATTGTGATTTGTTTCGATTGAATGTTAACAAAAACAACAATAATAAAGCCAGTATAACCCCGTAAATAGGGTTTAGGAAGGGTATTATGTACACATTCTTACCCCTACCTTATGCAGGTAAAGAGGCTATTTCCCGTAGACCCTCCGCTCCAAGCAAGCATGCAAATCACTAAGTATGGAGGAAAAATACAGTAGTTTAAAAGTTAGGAAAGCAGTAATAACAGCACGGAAGTAGAGCAACCAAAACACAAGAAATATCAGGTATTAATAGAATTATAAGCATATGGAAATACTAGACTGCACAACTACTACTAGAAGGAAAGGGAAGACGTACACTGCCTACTAGCCTTCAACCCTAATCATCGCCCTCCACGCCCGCCTATCAAGGGTCATGTCCGCATGTTCTCGATGAGCCGAAGATACGCCATGTCCTTCCTAATCACCTCACCTCCAATACTTCTTCATCCTACGTCTACCTTTCTTCAGACCCACTGTTGTCAATCTCTCACACCTCCTCACCGGGGCATTCGAACACCTCCTCTTCACATGTCCGAACCATCCCAACATCGTTTCCCGCATTTGTTTATGATGGAGGCTACGCCTACCTTGTCCTGAATATCTCCATTTTTGACCATGTAAATTTTGGAACGAGGAGATCGTTCCAAAATTGTATTATATTGGAAACATCATAAGGACAATGAATCTCAATTTTGGAACGATATCATGGAGAAGAAGACGAAGTTTCTATTATCTATAACTATGTATATCTTCTGTGTGTAAGTGCATATCCCTGCATATCTCCGATGTATACCATGTATATCTTAATTTGTATATCCATGTAGAAATGTGTGTGATATACATGTATTATTGCAAAACACTTTTCCAACTACATCAACGACATATTTGACTCCAAACAAGTCTATATCACATTCAATCTTTCTCCAATTTTTTATATTGCCCCGTTTATATGTTCTCGGCGAATTTCAACCACAAATTTAAAAAAATCTTTTTTTCTAAGTATTTTTAATAGGAATTGTTACACAAACAGCCGGCCAGATTGAATGTTTATTTTTTCTAGACGATATACATTAATTATACATAGTTATTACATATATTATACACTCACCGGCTATTTTTAGTTTAAGAGATTAGCCGAGGGTATTTGAGTTAATTCTTCTTTTTAATATTGTATAACTTTTTGTTGACCAAAAGGGTAAATGGTTCTATGGTTAGGAAATTTATTCTAGGAGACATTTTTGTAAATGTCTCTATTTTATATCATCAGGTCAAGTTTCCTACAAGTTAACAAGTTTGATATGGTAACTTACAAATTTAAATAAATCACTTGCTTTAACATATATGCAACAGCTAGTTCGGTCCTTAGTTCTAAGCAAAACTTACATAACATGTAATTAGAAGGGAGGTGAAGACAACCTACATTACATTATTACAATGCCTTCTTGTCCAAAAATACAATTACAACTTACTTACAATATCCACATTATGTGATTCTTTTTTGGAAAATTGCTTTCAGAATAAGTGATTTATATAAAGCGATAACACTATAAATCTTTGGAAAATTTTCAATAAAAGAAAATTCAGCACCATGAAATATCTGGAAAAATCACCGAGTTATGTATTACTAATATCATCCGCTGAAGACTCAGAAGCTGTATCGTCCAACGTTGAGGTTGAGGCTGTGTCCACCGAGCTACTATCACTATCTGATGATGCAAAAGTTTGGTCCTCCAATGGTTGTTTCAAGTGCCAATACATTATACTTGCTGTCAGCGTAAGGATCATCTTTTGATTTACCTGATTAAACATAACAGTTCTAGATATATGAAAAATATTATTGTAAAATCTTACATCAGACCAAAAAAAAAAACATTAGTTATGATATTACTTAGGGAATTATTTGATAATTCATGCTTAAAGCAAATCGTTAACAAGACGTAACATGGACGTCAAAAAAACAAATGAAGGTAACATTTTTTTTCCAAGATGTGATGTGGAAGGAAGGGCGCATCAATTATTATGAAGTCTCGGTGGCATTAACAAAAGTAAAAGAAAGTGCAAAACTGACAACTACATACAAATGAAAAGTTACCTCAATTAAATCTTCAGGTAACAAAAATATTGAACATCCGAGTTTTCTCGCGATAGTGATTATGTAGGTCGCGTTCATTTTCTTCTCCTCATCTGCATCATCCAAAATTTTCCATAATCGAAGAGTCAACCTCAAAGCATAGGAGCACTAAAAGGTACAACAACAACATACCTAGTAATATCCCACATCGTGGGATCCGGGGAGGATAGTGGTATACACAGACCTTACCCCTACCTTGTGAGGATAGAGAGGCGGTTTCCAATAGACCCTCGGCTCAGGAGCACTAAAAGGTACAGATTCATAAAGGTATGGTTTTTGCTCCCACATAGTGAGTCAAGGGGAAGGAAACTATATCATTGCGACTGTTGTTGGATTCAAAAGAATTGATCGAAACAGAAAATCTTCAGTAATTTCAACTATGTTTTTTTCTTTATGTTTCAATTATGATAAATGACCCTATCAAATTGTCTGGACCATCAAACCGATGCGATCTGATTCATTGCCCCCAAACAGATAGTATAGTTAGGCAAATGCAGAAAAATCTTTCACATGCAAAATGTGACACAAAAGTTTGTATGTTGAGCTTAGGTTTCCTAAAACTTTAGCTGATAGGAGGTTGAACCTCCTGTATATGAAAACCTTGGTACCTCTGTTACCTAGGGAAAAATATTCAAGTATCAAATATCACCATATCCAAACATACACTATTTTCCAGCACCTATGTTTAGATCCTAGCTCATATCATTCAGTAGGGCATCTCAGAACATTTACATACAACTGCATTTGATAATTCGATATCTAATGCAAAGAAATATACTCCAAGGAGAGAACAAGGAAAAATTCTTTTGTGTCAATACCAGCAAGCCAGTTTATTGACTTAAACAATTGAAAGATGGAACCTGTTTCTGAAAGAAAATTACCAGTTTCCCCTTTTGTAACAAGACTCCAGTTAACAGCTCGAGGGTGAACAGAACTTAGCAGTTCAAGGAAAAAGATTCCAGTTGACAAACTCTTATCCTGCAAATAAAACAAAGTCATCACCTTCTTCATCGTGGTGACAAGAGGTAAAATACTAGTAAAATTCAAGATAAATATGGCCATCTTGTAAGCACATTATGCAACTCGTCCCTTCTCTTCAAACTTTTGAAAACTAGGTTCAACTGAGAACCCAATCTTTACCTAGCTTGACTGTACTTGAAACAGACAATATTTAACTACTGATATGGAAACCCATTGATTTACAGAAATAGCCCCTTAAAGGTCTAGCAACTCCATTATTCTGATTTTGGGAAGTTAAAATAACAGGAGATGATACCTCAAAACTATTGGGATTTAAGTAAAGAGATATGTCTGTGGAGATGATACCTTAAAACTTGCCATATGACTTTGGCTTCCCGAGTTTCTTACTTTGCTGTTAGCCCACTCTAAAATGTGGGCGTCGGTGATTTCCTTCCCATGGGAGTGAAATCTCAAATTCTTTAAGAGCTGAAGCATGTTACATCTCATTAACTGCCACAAGTAAGCTGAAACACGAAATAAAGTGGTTGGTCCATAATAATTTGTGCTTTTCTAATTCCTGATTCAGTGGGAAAATAAAAGAGCAGGCTTACCCAATATTAACTTCTTGTTTCCCTGCACAACGTCATTTCCAGCAATATTTACTAAGGAAAACTTCAATTGTTTGCCAATCTTGACTACCTGGTTGCAGTTTTCTACTTTTCTAAAAGGCATCTTAATTGGAGGTTTAGTGGCAATTTTCCAATTAACAATTCCTGGGGAGACCTTGTCAAGTGTCTCCAAAAGCACCCATCTGCAAAAGACAAACATTGACGCAGAATGAAACCTAGGCAGCAGAAGTGCTCTTCACATAAACGTTTTTTAAAGAACTTCTAGAAAAGCCAAATAAGATCAGAGCGGAGTTGGAGTTCTTTATTTTCACTGGATCAAAAGGAAATTGAACTAACTCTGGAGCATGATTGCACTACCATGGGGAGAATTTTCTACACTAGGTATCAGGGTAGCACTCACCCATCTCTCAGATCTTCGAAAACATTGTCTATGTATGATGAATTTCCAAGACTATTGATCCAAAAGCGAAATGATCTTTCTTCCCTGGACATCTGAGCTTCATCTGGTGATATCTCAACAAAGGATATCTGCTTTGTTTGGGTTGAAAGACCATTCCTATAGATAGGAGATTTATGATCAGTTTATAATTGAAAAAGATGATCAAATAAACTAAATTGTACAGAATGCAACCCCAGTTAAGTGTAAAACACAAGTTTTACCGTAATTCCTAGGCAGATAATATCTCAGATTTATACAGAAAAATTGGTGAATCTTACAAGTGCGTCAGATTATGGGAAAATCTATAACAGATTTCAGGTCAACCGACAACTGTGGCGGAATCAACGTTGTGTCTATTCAAGTGTGTATGCTGACATATACTAGTGAAGCTACTGATATGTAATTATCTAAGCAGCATGCTAGAAAAGAACATTATAAATTATAAAGCGCGTAGCTTTGAAAAGTAGCAAAGATTTCTCCTAGCATATGTGGAATGAGGTACTCTCTATGTATTGCTATTCAAGAGCTTTTTAATGGGGAAATATAGCTTGTAAGCAACTAAAGTTCTTCTAGAACTTGGAACAACCAGCTAAAGCTGTCTTCTTGTAGTTAACTGTCAAATCCAAATAGAAAAACAACACAGGGAACAATTTGAAAGTTCGCAATTAGAATGGAAAGAAGCATTTAACTATTCTCACCTATGCTGAAAGATATGTGCCACAAATGCAAGGTTAAGATTTGGAGAACCTTCCACAATATCTTTCGCCGTTAAATATCTTTTGCAGCCCATCCTATCTGCATGATCCAGAACCAATTTTGCTCTTCCTAAAGGGTCTCTCACCGTGAGCATTGAAGGATTGGTATACTCAGGGGCTAGTACATTTAGGAGGTGAGCATAAGCTTCTCCATCCTGCATAAGCAATTTGATAACGTAAGAATTAGCATTATATCTCTAAAACGGCAAACCACATATAAGAGAGATGAAACTGAGAGCTCTTTTCTGTTATTACTGAGTAAAAGGAAAAGAAAGTCTAAATCGAGTACCTTTTAGATAAAACTTAGATTAAGCAGAAAACATCACATATAACAGAACTTCATAGGAGGCAGCAACGATATCTCGGTTGATCAAACTGATTCTTATTTGCTCTTTCTATGCCAAACTTATTTAGCACTTGGTGGCACTGTGAAAAGATTAATAACCTGAAATAGTTTCTACTGTTCATATATTCACCATACAGAGGAAGTTCCAGAAACTAGAGTTGTTAAAATATGTCTAAAACCATTACTCAGTAGTTCATGTTGCCCAAATAGGGAAGAGATAATAGAGTCATCAGCACCAAAGTCTTGAAGAGGATTAAATAAAAGGTGGCAGATATTAAAAAAAATCTGTCACGCTTGATTGATACAGTCCAATTCATTCCCATCTACCTTTATGTCAGAAGAGAAGTTTGTCACAATTTTCTTGTATCCAGATTTCTTCAATTGAAAATTCATCCATCTAAGCAGGATCTTTTCTGGAGGAAGGCTCATCAGCTCCTCTACTTCCTGACATCACAAATTTGAGATACTGAAGCATACAACACAAGCTTTCTTGCAAGATGATCACACAAAGAAAGCATCCAATAAGGGTATTTCCCTACCTGGCTATCGTCAACTAACTCGACCAATTGAGGTGTTTTCTTTAGATTGAGGTCTGCCAATAGTTGAATCTGAAATAGCATGAATTAGCCAATCAATATCCACAGAAGTTTCAGATTACAATTTGTGTCCTAAGATATAAAATATATGGCGGTATCATTTTGCATCTTAGTGCCGACCACCTGTTATTTATAAGGTAATCTAGTCCTATAAAAAGTTGCTCCATTACTTCAAATATGAAAATCATCTCAAGTATTCAATAAGTATACATTCAGAAGACTTACTTTAATAATTTGGGATATTACTCCAAGAACAAGATGCCTCTGGAAACAAATGAAACAACAAAGTATTAGTACAATGTATCTGTTACTGCAAAAAGTGAAAGCAATCAAAAGAATGTCACTCATAAAAACCGCATGGCAAAATGCTCATCATGTTAAGAGTCACAGTAAATATTGTGTTGGGGAATACTAGTAAACAACAACACTTTTTCCAGTAACATATTGACTAGAAAATCCCCGAGCCTCCAGTAGATGAAGAAAGTCACCATAATCCAGCCGCAGACCAGAGAACAAGACGATAAAGAGGCAGCAAGGATAATGATATAGATAATTGGATGTCTTTGTACATTCTAGAAGAGAGTGGACCTCTCCTATGAAACAAATCCAAATGAAAAGAGAAACATATGGTCTAAAGAATTATTGGGTCTTTTGTTAGAAGAATGCTATTGATCAAGCTATTTACACATGTAAAATATTAATTGACCGTCCAAAAATACCAGATGATATCACACTAACACTGCTCAAAGCCCGAGACATAATTGCTACTCCATCTAATGAGAAAGACGCTTTCCAAACAATGTTTCAAAGAGTTTTAAGAGGAAACAGAGTCAAGATGATAATTTCATGGAGAACTGATTGCAAACGGGAGAGGGAATTCATAAGGGGAGACGTACCCTCCCTTCGATGAAGTCTTGAGTCCCAATATTGACCACAGTACATCCAATTGCCTTGGCAGAGTTTAGGCACAATGTATGATTTTCATTCCTTTCCCATGGATTAAGCATTCTCTTCATATTTATTGCTCGCTCATCAATTGTTCCAGGTACGGCCACATTGATAAGCTTGCTGCAATAAAAAACAATATTGTTGACAATCTAGACCATGAGGCTTATAAGCGATATGCACATGAGTACAGAAACAGCAATAGTTGATACTAACCAGATAAGAACTCCATCCTTGGCAACCTCAAAGAGGTCGTTAGTAGAAGGATCAATAGGAAGGAATTTTTTCAAAAATTCATCTTCTGCAAGATAGTTGTTAATATGGGCAACATATGATGCCTTCTCGGATTCACTAATTGTGTGGAGTAGCGTAGAAGTTGGAGACGTTAGGAAAGCTGATGAATTCTTGGCGCTATTTCCCATTCTTGCTGTGGCATGTGCTTGGAGTTTCAAATAAACCTGTCACAAGTTCAACAATTTTTTGCACTCTTTAGATACATCCACTACTGACTCTTGACGTGTATGTTCTGAAAAGCTCTAGAAACAGAGTGGAATAATTCAAACAAAATGACTGTAAATCTACTCTAACTATCTAAAAAAGCAGAAAATGTAAAAAGATGTCAGTTTCCTTGTGCAAAGAGCAGAATTAGCTCCTGGAAATTAATAGTTCAGTTAAGTATATTATTCATTCGCTTCTGTTACTTAAAGAAAATTTCTAACTCTATATTCACAAGGAAGGAGTATTGTTTTGAATATACATGTCTGTTTATCCATGGATATGTCTACAAACTAATATTCCAGTAACATCAAAATCTTAAGTTTCTTTCTGTCACAAAGATTGGAGAGATTTTATCAAATGTATGCATTCCATTTAACATCTTTCTTTTTCAAACTGCTCTTTATTAGTTTCCGAATGTGATGGAAGCAGTGTTCTGGATTTTAGTAGAAGCATTTCTTAGGCTACTCTTACAAGATAATTCTGCATACTCAAAACTTTCAAAATCAATTCTAAATTTCCTTCTCTTCTTAGTGATATTCCTGATAGCTCAAAGCACCAATTAAGTACAAAAAGGACTATACAAGGAATGAGCTTATGAATCTATTTTACTTTCTTGATTTTGTTTAGTTTTTGATTCTAGAAAAAAATATACTGTACTAGAAATAAGCTAAAAATTCAGTCTAGTGAATGAATTAAGAATATTGTTTCCTGATATGATCTCATTAGGCCGATTTCCAGATCAAGTGTCTCATTTTAAGAATGATCCAAACAACCACTTCAAGAAATGCCATCTGTGGATATGAATCTACGGCATCTAACAACATTTCAACTGCATGAGCGCGGAATATATACCCGAAGAAATAGTTCGAAATCAACGTTTTCATCCAAACATTTATAGGAATCTCTGAGAAACAACTCTCTGTCTTGCTCCGTAAGATTCTCTCCGACGTGTTTCAGTTTCGCCATTTGTGAAGGCAAGTCGGCGAGCGTCAGACCTCCGTTCTCTTTCTTCATCGTGTTAAACTGCCCAGAAATAAATAAAACGTAATCCTCAATAATGGAGATCCGCAGATAGAATTCCAAAACTGAAATCGAAAAGAAAATAGATAGTGATCAGAGAAAACACTTACGTGAGATTTTAAACTCCGAAGCTCCACCTGAGTGAACTGATTTTGCAGCCATGGATCCGATACCAGCACACCTACATATCCAGCCATTGTTCAGTTCTCTCCTCACTAAAACGCTAGAGAGAGAGGGAGAGAGAGAGAGAGAGAGTTGAGATTTTCTGTGAGTGGGAGAAGAAGAGTGAGAATGGACGGAGATTGAGAGGAAGGCTTAACACTAGAGAGAGTGAGTACACTGGGGACGGAGAAGGAGCTGTCAGTGTCTGTTTCAAAGCTGTTTCTTTAAAATTCAAATTATGAGACGGTATTGTCCCTTTTGTTAACTGCTTTACTTTATACTTAATTCAAATATGTAGTACAGTGCTTCATAATTAAACCCTCTAGTTAGTTTCTGTATTAATTAAAGTATAGTTTACTCCTATTTGATATGGTTTATTAGTCAACAGGGAACGAGAAAAATGTGAAACTGTAACGGTCACTTTTTAATTTTCTGAACTTCGCCAAATGTGTTGGAGGATATAATTTTTTTATTTTTATGTTTGTTTCATACCTGGTAATCGGTACCCGCATTGGAGCCCGACTATATTCGCATTCGCGCTGCGTAGGGCCTCATTCGGGGGAAGCGCTCCCATCAAAGATTTTTCGATACCCAAGGCTCAAACCCGAAACTTCTAGTTAAGGGAAGAGCAGTTACATTCACTGTAACACGACCTTTGGTAGGGTTGGAGGATATAATTACTGTCACATGACACTCACCTAAACCTGGGCCTTTACAATTACCTGTGACTTCAATATTTACCTTACTTGCTAAATTTTAATACGATTTGCTTGCTATCAACACCACTAATAATTATTCAGACATATTCACATCAAATAATGAATTAACGGTCAATTCTATTTTACATACACTTGTATTGTTTAACCATAGGTAATTTGTCACTTGACTTTATTAATGTGGCTTGACCCCCTTCCCAGGAAACCCTCCTCTCGTAAGTGTTGACTGTTGATATCATTAAAGGTCGGTCCTAAATTTTTAGTTCTAAATCTTAATGGCCACAAATTCTTGGAGTAAAGATCCATTTCACTTAAATTGAAGCAAGTTTATGTATTGCTTGAGAGGTGGTTACTGTAGTTATTGAAAGCACCGAATTGAAGAAGTTACCAGCTGTGATTCTTCAAACGTGAAGGTACCCTCGTGGCATGTTTCCGAATTTTGCACTCTTTATTTAACTTCCGGCTAGTTTTCACGAAGTGACATAACTGAGATTTCAGGTCTAATTAATCCTCGATGGCAGGAGAATTTTCATTTTGTTTGTACTTCTGTTTACCCTCGAATCCGGATAACAATTGAATTTATATGGGGTTTTAAGGATCCGTGAACTAAAAGATACAGAAGGTTTTTAGGTTAAGGAAAATAAAGATAAAGACTCAACAATTGCTGTTAAAGTAAATAATCGCAGAATATAATATTGCTTAGAACAGTTGTGCTTGATGATGCTCAAGAATTTAGAGAGATCCCCCTTTATACATTCTGATTAAGGGTAAAAATAAGGTAGGTCAATTGATTACATCGTGGATCCCTGTAATCACGCCTTAATGGCCTGAAGTGGTTGAGAAAATCACGTTTGGGCGAGATATCCGGCGACGCTTGGTTATCCGTTACGAGTCCGGCTTCCGACCTTGTGTGTTTCTCCATCCGGTGGTGACTCCTATCGAGCTCTGTAACGGTCTCGAAATGACTCGACCTCGGTTGTAGACGTGGCCGTCGTTCTACCTTGCATCCAGGTCGGGTTCGATGGCCCCGATTTGCTCCGGTCCGGACCCAACCCGGTCGGGCTCAAGCAAAAAAGGGTATCACCTAATACAGATAGTCCCCTCGTTTATTAGAGAGTAATGATAATAAACGATATGACCGGTGACGTGATGCCCGTGACGTATGGCCATACGCCAGGTGAAAAAGCCATCGAGTGCTCTGACCACGCCTGCTGCAGGCATTTAATGCNCTTGAGTGAAGGCTTGTACTGCCCAGTCATCCGTGACTGGGGGAAGATCCATCCTCTCCATTTGAAATCGAGACACGAATTCCCGGAGTGTCTCGTTTATGCGCTGTCGGACCTTGAACAGGTCGGATTTCCTTGTTTCTACCCTGATCGCCCCGGCGTGAGCTTTCACGAAGGCATCGGCTAACATGGCGAACGAATCGATGGAATTTGGTGGTAAGTTATGATACCACGTCATTGCCCCCTTGGACAAGGTTTCTCCGAACTTTTTCAACAAAACTGACTCGATTTCATCATCTTCGAGATCGTTTCCCTTAATCGCGCATGTGTATGCTGTCACATGCTCGTTTGGGTCCGAGGTCCCATTATACTTCGGGATATCGGGCATTCTAAATTTCTTAGGGATAGGTTTTGGGGCGGCACTGGATGGGAACGGTTTTTGTACAAACTTTTTAGCGTCAAGGCCCTTCAGGACCGGAGGTGCACCTGGTATTTGGTCGACCCTGGAGCTGTATGTTTCTACTTTTTTATTGTTGGCCTCGATTTTTTCCTCCCCTTTTCGATTCGTTCGGTCAGTTCTTCTAGCCTCCTAAGAACCGCAGAATCAGCATCCGGCCCACCCCGTTCCGGCTGTACTGGGGTTGGATTGATGATTGCAGCTGCACGGGGCTCCTGGACCCGGCTCTGGAGCTGGGCTATAGCCAATTGCTGGGCTTGCAGCATGTCAAAAATCATTTTAAGGTTGATAGTCTCTTCGCCGACTGCCTGGGCCCTCGAATCGTCCTCTCCCCGGACGCTATGCGATGATCCGGAGGCCTGATCAGTGTTGAGCGCCATCCGGGAACCGGCATCTATCGGGTTTTCGAGCCCGGGCATTCCATTGTTTCCCGTCTGCTGTTCAAGTTCGTTGTTAATTGATTGTGCCATTCTATGAGTTGGTAATTTGAATGTAAGATGGACTCTTTTGCAAAGAACCAGTGTATTGTGATGCGTCAAGAAAGAGTATCAAAGAGCTCATCAATATCCTTAGCCCCACGGTGGGCGCCAAACTGTTTACCCTCGAATCCGGATAACAATTGAATTTATATGGGGTTTTAAGGATCCGTGAACTAAAAGATACAGAAGGTTTTTAGGTTAAGGAAAATAAAGATAAAGACTCAACAATTGCTGTTAAAGTAAATAATCGCAGAATATAATATTGCTTAGAACAGTTGTGCTTGATGATGCTCAAGAATTTAGAGAGATCCCCCTTTATACATTCTGATTAAGGGTAAAAATAAGGTAGGTCAATTGATTACATCGTGGATCCCTGTAATCACGCCTTAATGGCCTGAAGTGGTTGAGAAAATCACGTTTGGGCGAGATATCCGGCGACGCTTGGTTATCCGTTACGAGTCCGGCTTCCGACCTTGTGTGTTTCTCCATCCGGTGGTGACTCCTATCGAGCTCTGTAACGGTCTCGAAATGACTCGACCTCGGTTGTAGACGTGGCCGTCGTTCTACCTTGCATCCAGGTCGGGTTCGATGGCCCCGATTTGCTCCGGTCCGGACCCAACCCGGTCGGGCTCAAGCAAAAAAGGGTATCACCTAATACAACTTCATTTGTTCTTTTTTCCTTCATGCACTCTCATACACAATCCATGTGCAGAACTTGCTCAAGTTGAGGAACACAATTTCCAGAACAAGTTTTAGGTAGAAAATAGTAAAGCCAAGTGAAAAATGTGACTCTCTATGCATCTTAATTGGCCCAATTTCAGCACTTCATGTTCCTTCACAAATGACTTTTATCAGAACGTATGGTCCTTCTTGTCATTTCATCATAGAAGAAAGATTAGTTGAGCACCTTTCAAATTGTGAGCCCCACAGAAGGAGGGCTTTTCTTAAGAAAAGTTTGAATAGATAACATAACGGCTCTTCTGATGCTTTCTCGAGACTAGAATTTTGAAAACTAGAACGCCAGTTTCCAGTAGAAGATTTTGAATTAAACCAAACGCGGTCATTTCAGAAGGAAACAAACTTTAGCTGTCGTTCTCAACCCGCGAAGTCAAAATTTGGTATAAAACAGTTCTAATCTAATTTAAACACTCTATTGGTAACAACTTTCTTCCTATTTCATCCTTAAAAAAAACTAAAACATTAGCTCAAACGACTTCTTAAGTTTAACCTCTTGTAGATTTCTTCACTCTTATTCTATAGCTAATATAATGTCTTATTAACAACTTAATTACTTGTCCGGTCGACTCTGCATATTGCATAGAGTACCTTAGCAATAAAATAAATAAATAAATAAAGATGTGGCTTTTTGGTACTCCTACACAACTCTATATCACTATGAATATTATTATCTTCATTTCCATAGATTCCAGAGCAACAATGCAAACTTATTTCTAATTTTATACACTGCCGGGGTAAAATTATTACACCATTAGCACTTAAACACTAAGTGCAAAAATTGTTGCAAAAGGACGGTAGAACCTGTTGTAACTGATCAAATTTTTAATGCAAAAAATGTATAGTCATTGAAATAAAGCTTAAAATTAATTTGAAAACGATAAATAAAGGAGGCGTGAAGGATTAGGAGAAAACACAAACAAAGCAACCTACCAACCCCTCCTTGGCAAGTGTCCCATGCCATACTTTTCTAATTAAAGAAAGTTGTTTGGCACTTGCACAAAAACGAGCACCTCACGTGGCCATTTCCAGTGCTTTTATTCTAAAAGATGGAAAGGAGATGGGGAACAACTATTGGCATGGGGCTCTAAGTTGGCCCTGACCAACTTGAAGATCAGGGGTATCTCATTTTTCGTTATATCAACATCCCAAAAAGCGCCATTACCTATAATTTCCTGCTACAATATGAATTGCAAATCATATTTACTTCTCAACCTGAAGGATTAACAGGTTCAAAGCAAAAGATAAAACAAGTCGAATTTGAGCTCAGTTGTGATGCAGCTTATACTCTCTCAATCCATGCAATATACACGAGTCCATTATCGAGTTGCTTTAAAGTGGTTATGTTGACAAAATAAATGAAAATAACGTACAGGGTTTTTTCAATAATGATGGTATTCAAACTAACTCCTCATTAATCCACTGCGTATATATTGTTTTTCACTAGGCACCAAGTAACTATATCATCAAAGTTTAGGCAGATAAAAGAACCTGTTAGAATTCGAACATTGGTCCCAAGGACGCCATCCCCACTCATCAACTGCTAAGACACTCCCTTGGCAAAATTCAGACAAGATAACTGCAAGATATCTTCTTTAAGCAAAATAAATTATGACTATTGGGTAAAAGCAGAAGTATGGAA